TGCGCAATCGAGGCGTCGCGCGCAAAATGCAAAAAGATCGAGTTCATTAGATAAATCGGGCGGGGGGCGCTTGTGTGTGGTTGAGGGATAATTGAAGGGAACAGGTGGCGAGCGCGAGCCCTAATGCAGCTGGCAAGCATGCAAGCGAGCGCGCAAAGCCCCTTTTTCGCGCGAGTACTCGTGAGCTCGGGCCCTTTTGTCATTCAATCGAGCCACTGACATCGATATACGTATGATGGCTGTCATGCCTCGTTTTGTTGTTGCGCGGCGAGAGTCGGGGGAGAGCTGTATGCACCGTCCGTCCGTCCGTACGTGTGTGTGCGTGTGTGTGTACGGCGATAACCGCATAAGTAGCGCGAATTAGCAATTTCGCTGATTAAGCGCGACCAAACGTCTACTGTGTACAGGGGGAGACGGCGTGTTGACGAGGCATATAGAAATAAGAAGTCAGGTACACAGTCTATATATTGAGAGCTTTTTCAAAAGAATCGCGCGGATAGTTTAACATTCGACAACAGACACACACAGACGCGCACACACACACGAGGACGCACATGATTTGCCGTGAGCAAATGTTTTATGTTTGCTCGCTTTTGTAACTTTTACACACCGATAAAACGCTAGAAAGAGAGAGCGCAAGAGAGAGAGAGAGAGAGAGACTGGCCGAGTTAAATATTTATTAAATGCCGAACCCATCCACGCCCTCGTGCTCCGGGTAATGGGATATGCACAAAGGTATTTCGTGCGTGTTTCTCGCTTCGCGAATTTTTGTCTCTGCTCGCGGAGTCTACTTCCAAATCCACATCAATGAAGCGGCTCCCGCGTCGCGTTCTCAGATCAACTTATCTGAAATTAAACACGTGATAATTTCGCCTCACCGGCACTTTTATCATCCGAAAAACCAATATTAATAGTGCAAATATAAAAAGCGCCGAATCGGAGAAAAAAAGGTGCGCGAAAACATCGCAGCTTGCGCGCCGATTAATAACATCCTCGCGCGCGTAAAACTAGAGCGCGATCGACAAACACACGGCGCTTTGTCAAACATTCGACCCATCTCCCGCTAATAAACCCACGAGCGAGCGCGGCAAGGCTCTTTTTTCGGCATGCGTGGTGCTCGCGAAAGAGCGAAAGAGAGAGAAAGAGAGAAAGAGAAAGAGAGAGCGCGCGCGCGAATAAAGTGCTGATTTTCGCCGGTGGAATTTTTCAAACGCGCCCGTCGCGACGACGACACGCTCGATCAATATTTGCGCAGCCGCTCGGCGCTCACTCTCTTTCTCTCTCTCTCTCTCTCTCTCTCTTTCTCTCTTGCTCGCTCGCAAGCACGCTCCGTACATTACTCGACCTTCCTCGCGCGCGCGGGCTTTTCAATCGCGTCGTCGCCGCGAGCATCCTGCCGAGTGGTCGTCGTGAAAAACTTTCCGCGGGGCGATCGCAAGCGTCGCATTATCGAGCGCCTGGCCGCGTGGCGAATTTCGGTCAAGTCGAACTTACGTGGCGCGCCGGCGGGATGATGCGGAGCGAGCTTGCGCCTTGTCTTCGTCGTCGTCGTCGTCATGGTCGCCGTCGTCGTCGCCGTGCACGGGCTGTATGTATAACGCCCGGGACTTTCAGGATCCGGGCTGTTTGAACGACAAATATTTTGTCGTCAAACTTCTGTGTCGCGCGCGAGTGAGAGAGAGAGAGAGAGAGTGAGAGAGCGAGCTCAATGAACGTGTCTATATGTGCAGGACTAATACAAAGCGTTTTGCGGCGCGAGTTTGCCATATCGGAATCGGATCGCCGCACGTCTTGTAGCGACGAGGCGTTAATCGAGCGTTAAACGATGCAAGAGAAAAAGTGCGCGGCGAATGAGGAGGGCAGGGGGACGGGTTGTAAGCTTGAGCGACGGGCCGAGGATTTGCCAAGGGAGCGTTAAACGCGCGATACACCCGCGCGCATATTGCTCGGTTTGTCGCCGCTTAACATATGAATGCAGCACGTAGAGGGGGACAAATATTTTGGTGCTAATCCGGCGCTCGGAAAGCTCGGCTGCCGACTCCGAGAGAGAGAGAGAGAGAGAGAGAGAGAGAGAGAGAGAGAGAGAGAGAGAGAGACGCCATCTTGTACTCCCGCGCTCGCGCTCGATACTCACCGCTAGCCCGGGGATGCGCGTATACACTTGGGGATTCTCTCTGTGTCGGGCGGGCGGCGGGAGGGTGGGTGGGAGAGAGAGGAGGGGGGGGGCGATTATCGCGTGCGCTTTGTTGCGGGTAAAACGCTTTTTGAGCTGCTGGTTCGCTGCACGCTCCCCTTGCCCGCACGGCTCAGCGAAAAATCAAAGTTTATTGCGAGCTGATTTGCCGGGGGCGGGCGGCTCTTCTGGTTTTATTGAATGTTTCCCTTGGACGAATTAATTATGTTGGCTCGCGGCGACGCCCGTGCCTCGCGGCTTTTCGGGAAATCTGGGGCTATAAGTAATGTGGGACTAGTACTCGGCCCCATGAATTTCAGATTATTCTCATTTAAATAGCCCCGTCCGTCCGTACACACGCACATACTTACATATATTTATTTGTACATACGAAAGCTGCCGCGGAGCTACGCGTTACAAGTTTGCGCAGTCCTCGCGACGAAGCAAGCATGGTTTTCAACATCCGCCACGCAAGGCGCGTAGTTTAATTGGCGCGGATAAGAGTGCAGGCTTCGCGCAGACGAGAAAAGAAGAGAGGCCACGGGAAGAAGAGAAAAGCGCGCAAGTATCCACACAGCAGCCACAGAGAAAGAGAGAGAGAGAGAGAGGAGAGAGAGAGAAGGAGCGGTATCAGAGCGGATCAATTTATGTCAATGTTTGCAGCTACTCTACAGAGTAATAGAGTTGCCATTGTCAATATTATCACTGGAAACCTTATTTTTCTAATTGGATTACAGGTCGCGAAGCAGCCGAATAAAGAATAGCCAAGCGCGTCAAATATTTAAGGCCGGGGTGTCGCGCGAAGCCAAACAGCCGCTCGGGAAAATTATCGCGCGCGTATGTCCGAAAATTAGCGAACACACGCACGCGAGCGCGGAAGCGTGCGCGATGTGTGCAACGTCGGGCTCGCCAGAAAGAGAGAGACAGAGAATGAGAGAGCGAGTGAGCGGAAGAAGGTAGGCGGGGCCACGATCGACCAACCAGCACTTGGCGGCGCGCCTCCGAGATTTTATCTCTCTCTCTCTCTTTCTCTCTCTCTCTCCGCGAACTCTCGACTCGACGACGGCCGAGGCACGGCGAAAAGCTGGCTATAGCGGCACCCCGCGGCTGTTTTATTATTCGTTAATTAACGATATTGTATTGGGCGGCGATCGGCGCGGACGCCGCGCCGAAACAGCGACAGCTGAGTGTACACAGTGCTGCGACTACCCTACTAACGCAAACACGCGAGAGAGAGCCTATGATTTAATGGAACAGCGTATCCTCTTTTTTTCTTTTCTCTCTCTCTCTCTCTCTCTCTTGCTCTCCGCTTCGCAATTACTTGCAAGCAGATTATATTGCGATTCCTGCTCTCTTTGTCGGCACGCGGGCGAGCAGAGAGCGTCTTCTTCGCCGAGTTAATTAAAGTTTGCAGCGTTATATAGGCGTCGTCGTCGCTGGGAGGAATTAATCTCCCTTGAGATGGGAAAAGGGAGGAACAAAGCGCGCTCGAAGAGAGAGTTTTTTCTCTGCCCTCGAGTGGATCTCGCTGCCTGTACATGTAGCGCCAAACAATGCCGAAGCGAGAGAGAGAGAGAGAGAGAGAGAGAGAGAGAGAGAGAGAGAGAGAGAGAGAGAGAGAGAGAGAGAGAGGAGAGAGAGAGAGAGAGATGAGATGGAGAGAGAGAGAGAGAGAGAGAGAGAGAGAGAGAGCGAGCGAGTCAAGTGGCCTCCCGCGCACATCTGCCGTGTTTATGAAAAATCGCTCCCCTCCACGGCGAATCGATCATCGCAAGCCGAATCCATCGTCGTGCACGTCGTCGTCGTCGACGTCGTCGTCGTCGTCGCCGCCGTCGTCGTCGTCGCCGGCTTCAATTAATTGCCTCTCACGGCCTTCTTTATCTGCGTCGGCACACCCGCCGTGCTCCTGTCTGTTATTCATGAGGTGCGCGGGAACCGACTGCGGCTCGGCGCCACGTGTCGACCATCAAAATCGCATTACACGTCGTAACGATGGATGTGTGCACCGCCTCGTTATCGTCCGCACTCTTCCGTCACTTCCATTAGGTCGACCGAAGCAACGACTCGCCGCGTCGCTCGAGCTCGCGCGCACGCAAATCTCGGTGCTGTTCTTCGTCGCGCGTGTACGAATGCAAAACGTCACGATCGACGCGCCGACGAATAACAGAGGCGATTAAAAGATCAAACAAACGACGTCGCATGCTTGAATTTTATTTAATCCCGTTGACGCGTACACAAACACACGCGAGAGGAGAGGGAGACTCGCGACGCAGCAACAACTTGTACATAAATAACGGGGCGCAGCCATTGTCGTCGGTCCCAGAGCGCCCGAATTACGGAAAAATCACGCGCGCCACGACAGCGGGCAATTAGGACGAGAGCGCGCGTTTCCGAGGACGCGCGGCATATGGCGGTCAGAGGCGCGTGATTTCCGTCGTCGATTGCCGACAGCATTGTGCGACGCCCGCGTACGCGCGCAGGAGACGCGGCGGTAACATGCAATTTGCCGGACAATAGCTCGGCCAGCGATACACGTACGCCCCTGCACCGGCTATTGTCGCCCGACAATGCATCGACGCTCGGGCCAATTTCGGCTTTGAAATATTTACAAGCCGCTAACGAGCCGCTCTCCTTTTTCGATTCCGCATTGCGCGACATCAATCGCTCTCTCTCTCTCTCTCCCCGCCTTGAACACTTCGCTCTCCAACGCGGCAGACGTACGCGTATACGGTAACAGGTGCACAGAAATATTGGAAGGCGGATGCGCGGGATTTACGGATCCGTCACGGAGATCGGGGGACGCAGCCGAGCGCGAAGTCCAGCCGGACTAGTGCTTGATGATCCTGGTGGCGGGCTCGCGGGTGAGGATCCTCGGCTGGGGCCGGATGCTGGGCGGCGGTGGCACCGTCGGCCGCGGTACCCTCGGCCGCGTCTCCTTGGTTTCGTCGGCTCGGCCGCGTTTGCCGCGTTTGCCGCGTCTCGGCGCCCCGGCCGTCCTCAGCGACGCCCTCAGCGAGTGCTCGGGATCGTACCTGGTCAGCGACCGACGCGTGAGGCGTTTGCACGGGGGGGGCGAGTCGACGCCTGCGTCCACACTTGTGAACCTGTATCGCTGGCGCGACTTGACCAGAATCCCGTAGTCGACCCCGCGCCTCAGCGCCACGGCGACCTCGCGCTGGAAAGCCTTGCTCGGCGCCAGCGAGTACATCCTGCTCAATCGATCGACCAGCTCGCTCGCGGAGTAGCCCAACCGCCGCGACCCAGCAGCCGGCTTGTTATTATTACCGCCATTAGTCCGTGCCCGCTTCGATTTCGTTCGCTTCATGCTTCTTTCGCGCCCCGCTCGCGATGCAGCCAAAAACACAGACAGAGACCGAGAGGGTTAGGAAAACTCGCCGCGGCTCTTTTGACGAGCGCGCGTCGATGGTCCGATGGGTGATTGTTTTGACAACGCGAGAGCGAGAGAGGGGGGAGGGCCTCGCGGCAGGTAGAGGAGAAAAAGGTTTTCGGTGCAGTGTGTTTGGTCAGTAGCGTGGACTTGACTTTTCCGACGCGGCGGTCTTCTTGGCTTTCGAACTGGAAGCAGGTAAGAATAATATAGTTTTCGCGTCTGTGAAAACAGGGCCAAAGGCGAACGAGAAGGAGCCCCGCCCGAATGCACGGCCGCGCGGTCGACCTGTTTGCCTTGAATTTCGGAAAAGGAGAAGAAAAAAGCGTCCGCAAGGCGATACGATGATTCAGCGAGAACAGAGAAGAAACGGTCCTCGCGATAAGAGGAGCGCGCGGGGGGGAAGCGCTAGTAGGTGTCGTCGCGCAATTGACAGTTCATCGTGCGTTTAACCCTCGATGTAGACACGCGCCGCGCGGCACAATAAAACCGCAGAGCTCGACGCAAAGAGAGAGAGAGAGAGAGAGAGAGAGAGAGAGAGAGAGAGCGAGAGAAAGAAACACTTCCTAATCGCTGCGTGCTCAGCGAGGGATCGGTGTATGACACGGACACAAAGGGCAGGCAAAAAGTATATACAACAAAAGCGAGCCGGCGGAGCATTTGGCCACTTGACGCTCGCTCGCTACGCGCGATGCGGTGGCGTTGTTTCATTCTTAGCCAATGTCGCGTGAAACGATGAAGAGCCTCGATGTTGCTGCTGTTACTGCTGCTGCTGCTGCTGCTGCTGCCGCTGCCGCTGCCGCTGAAATCGAGTGCCAGCAGGTGATACGATTGTTCTCTCTCTCTCTCTCTCTCTCTCTCTTTCATAAAGGGATGCAAGTGCACAGGCAGAGAGAGAGAGAGAGAGAGGAGAAAGGGAGGAGGCAGAGAGGAGGGAAAGAGAGAGACACGGATCGAGGATAGTCTTTGGCAAACACCAATATTTGCGAGAGCGGCCCGCGCACACCCACTTGACTCTCTTTTATTTCTCCCGCAAGCACGGAGAGAGCTTGCAAGCTCGACATCTTCAATTATTGCTAGTTTTTTTTTCGCCATGGTCGAGCACGATCTAATGGATCTGCATACCACTATTCCGAGAATGAGAGAGAGCGAGAGAGAGAGAGAGAGCGGAGAGCGCGGCCAGATACATATTAATCAGCGGTTTAATTACAACATCGAAGCTTGCAAGGACAGTGAGAGAGAGAGAGAGAGAGAGGGCGAAGGACGTTTGGCAATTAATCGCTGCACGCGCTAGACATAACTGACAGGTCCTCGAGGAGGGCTGCGCACGGGCGAGCGTGAAAAGAGAGCAATAAAGGGGATTAAAGATTCGCCCGGGCGGCTGGCGCTGACGTCGATGACGACGTCGATGACCGTATAGCCACGGCGGCGGCGCGTGCAGGCGAGGGTGAGTCAGTGTATTTGCACAAGGCCCCCGCGGACATTCGTCGTCGTCGACGTCGCTGCACTACCGCTGCGGGCCTGTAATATAGCGACAGCCAAAGGCGGACGTAATTTCCTGCCCGCCTGACAACGCGCTGCTCGCTCTCTCTCTCTCCCTCCCTCTCTCTCTCTCTCTCTCTCTCTCTCTCTCTCTCTCTCTCTCTCTCTCTCTGCAGACATGTTTGCCAAGCCAACATACACACACACGTACGCGCGCGTACGGCAACTGCACGCACGCGCAAACCTACTTAGAGGGCCTCGCCCCCCAAGGCGGAGAAAATCGTTGACGCTGCAGCTGCCGCTGCTGCTGCTGCTGCTGCTGCTGCATGCGCCACCAAGACGCGTACGTGTGTCTGCGAGCTTCTCTTTCGCCTTGTTTTAGCGATGACGGAGATTCGCTTTTCTCTCTCGCAGGCAATGGAAAGTAGAACGAGTGTACGAAGAAAATTGGAGTGACGGAGAGCAGCTTCTCTCGCGTCTTTTCTCTCTCTCTCTCTCTCTGTCTCTTCCTCTCGAGAGTGGAGCGACGGTCTCTTGACCTCTCTGCCTTTTTCGAAGCTCTTTGGCACGATAAACAGAGGAGAACCTGCTTGCCGAGAATCAAAAAATTTGTCGCTCTTTCGGCCTCGCTCGTGGTTATACGTGGCTATAGATCGGCGGCGTTGTTGCTCCCGCGGGCGCCAAACGAACGACGATTAGAGAAGCGAGCGAGGGCTGGCGGCTTCCTCCCATGCATGGTTCCCGCCAGGAGAAAGAAATTGCGATCGTAGGAGAGGATCAAACTCTTTGCACAATGGCGAGAGATACACTCGAAGGAATCCATCCGGATTTGAAGCTCGGCCTCGCTCTGGGGAAATCCCCCGAATGATCCGGCAACGAAAATCGTATACCTTATAATCTAATCTCGTGGCGGACTCCTAAGCCCGACTAACTTCTTTTCTCCGCGTAAGAGAAACAGCCGGGAAGAACGAGCGAACGGACAATATATTCCGGCTTTCCCGTAATTTCCTTGGAAATTCGCCGATCTCAAAGACAAACAGAAGCAGAAGCCTCGGGCCACCAGATTTTATGAGATTCCATAAGACCCCAAGAGCTTCGCTTTTTCATCCTTCTCTCTCTCTCTCTCTCTCTCTCTCACTCTCTCTCTCTCGTCGTTCAATTAAAACGCGACAGGAAGTGCAGTACTAGGGGGAATCCTCCGTTTGTGTGCGCGCTGTTTGGACATGTGTTCCGCCCTGGTCACGCGCTTTGTCACCCGGTCAGAGAGAGCGAGAGAGAGAGCAGTCTAAGAACAACATTTTAACCGCTCTCGCGGGCGCGAATCTCTGGAACAACATTCGGGCATATGGCCGCAGTTTAAAAAAAAATGGCCGAGGCAAGTACTCAAAAATGTTTATGCAAGCTCTCTAACAACAAATAACTTCTTGGGTACAACCGCCTGTCTCTCTCTCTCTCTCTCTCTCTCTCTCTCTCTCTCTCTCTCTCTCTCTCTCTCTCTTACTCTCTCGCGCGCTCGGGCTTATTTTTCTTTGGCTTTTCATTGAATCAACCTTTCGCTTTTCCATTATCTTAATTTACTCCCCCCCTCTCACACTCCATCATATAGTTGTATTCTCTCTCTTTTCTTTCCTTCACGAGCAGGTAAATATTTGATCGGCGATCTATCTACCCACTCTTTGGAATATTACTACTTTTTTAAATCTTACTCATTTAATTTACCCTTCCTCTCGTTCCGACCAAAGTTCGGCTTTTTTTTTCCTTTTTTCAATTAATTTAGAGATGAAAACTTTTTTTCCGGGTGATGGGCAATCCACTCAAGTAATGTTTGACCGCCGAACGATAAACCGTATACATGTTCAAACAATCAGGTTGATTGCACGTCTTTGCATTTAATCAGAAGTATTATGCGCGGCGTTATCCGCAAACATTAATCTCGCAGCGCGCGCACGTGAGAAAAAACGGCTAACGGTATTGCTGTGTAAATATCGAGGCAAGGCTGCGTTTCCCTTGATTCTCGCGCAAGATGCCAAAACGACGGACAAGAAGAAGAAGAGGAGGAAGAAAGTCGAAGAGATCGTGTGAACGGAAGAAACCTGCTTCTCACAATCCGCCCACATATCCGCGCGTATCATCGCGCGTAACGTCGTCATTAGGGGACAGATATCGAACACGCCTATGAACTTTCTGAAAAGATGCAACGCTTCGCGCCGACTCTCTCTCTCTCTCTCTCTCTCTCTCTCTCTCTCGGCGCTCCCCTGCACGGCAATCGAGCGCGCACAACACGCGTTTCACGCCAATCGGCTGCTGGGCTTGACTTTTGTACCTTTGTGCCGGTCGGGTCTTCCGGGTCGCATTCTTCATCGCTCCGCTTTGTGTGAGTCTCCTCGCCAGCGTCCGAGAGCACCGGAGTGACGCGGCCGAAAGCCAAATCTTGCGCGCTCACGAGTGTTTTGTCAATCGTCCCCGTAAACGTATACACGACAGTTATGATTCGCGCTCTGTTATTGGAGGGGCGTTTCGCTGTAATTTGTCATGTCACAGCATATAAATAAACGCGTCTTACTTTCTCTCTCTCTCTCTCTCTCTCTCTCTCTTCTGTTTTATTTGTCGATCGAATAGATCGATATAACAGTTGATCCGCGAGAGGATGATGAAATTTCCATTGGCGCATCGCGAATTCATCGGATGCTCGTCTTTGGGCGATCAAACGAGTGGAGCAATCTGTCGCGCATCAGAAATGCAAATAAGCGCGTCTCTAAGTGAATCCTAATTCACGACAAACAGCTTGCGCGCATGCATAGTAGCTGGGCAATAAATCAGGGCAACCAGTTGAATAGAGGCCATTATATCCAAATGGGGAACAAAACGCTGCGGCTAGTACGGGGGCGATAAAACGCTGTAGTACACACACGCGCGCGCGCGCGCAGCAAGGCAAAAAGTCGGACGGGTGTGCGTTGCTCTCTCCGACAAAAGAGTGGAGGAATCATCTGGCTGTTGGCCACTTAATAACGGTCGCTAATGTGGCCACCTAAAGAGACTTACAAGTAAAGTTTCCCGAGAGAGAGAGAGAGAGAGAGAGAGAGCTTAGATTGTGGCTTTGTGCCGGGCGCCACGCGCGTGACTCTACGCCTCGCTCCGCAGGGCGTCTCCTCTCCTGAAAATCCCACGCTGGGATAACACCAGGCTGAGCCGCCGACTGACAAATTTTACCGTGCTCTCGTTTGTAGTAATAGCTCAACGCGTGCCACCGGCAGTCCTAGTCGTGGTCGTCGTAGACGTCGTGCTCGTCGTCGTTGCGTCTACGCGCAGCCGGGGAGACGTGGCAACAAGCACCGAGTGCAGCTTGCACGACCTGCAGCTATGCGCGATGGGGGGATGTGCGCGTATACATATATAATGCGAGCGCGTATGTATAGATTGGATTTGGGATCGGCTTAGCCGAGCGCGAGCGCTGA